GGTCTAGGGAGAGCCTGCCGTGTCTCCAGAGAAGCTCTGCTGAGGTTTCTCTCTCTCCAGCCAGGCAATGTCCGGAGGGGCTGAGGAGCAGATCCCGGTGGCGGGCAGCACACGGAGCCGGTGCCTCCTCCTGTCCATAACTTTGGAGACCGGGTCTGAGGGGCTCAAGAGGAACGTGCCGCTGTGTGCTCACGGCCAGGTCTGTTTCCAGGCTCCGGAGCACTCTGCTGCCGCGTCACCAAGCCCTGGATTTCCCTAGACCTGAAAGCAGCTGCACCAGCCTGGAGCCAGCCCCAGCACGGACCTCCCAGCACAGCTCCTGCATCCCAGCGGGCAGGATGAGTACAGGGAGAAGAGAGGGGATCCGGAATCAAGTTGGTTCAACTCCCTGCCTAGAGATCTATACTATACTTTCCCTATAGATAAAATGTAAACATAAAGAGCATACAAATTGCACTTGATCCTTGGGATCTGACATTGCTACCAAATGAAGGTACCACTCCTCTGGGTGTGGGACAGCAGGACAGCGCGTGACCGACCGGACCGGGCACGGGCCCAACTTATGGACAAACTATTTCCATTTGAAAACTAACAAAGTGACATTGGGGAACACTGTTTAAACTGCAGAGCTGGCAGGAAAGAGATTCTGTTTAACCCTGGAGAGCCACAAACTCCTTGGAGCACTTGCCCACTGCCGGAGCAGCTCCGCCTGGCACAGGGCTAGTGCACCTGCCTCGCGCTCCGCACACGCTGCTCTGTGCCGGCTCACGCTCCCCTTCGTGTTTGCTACTGGGAGCTCAAAGCCTCCCCGGGGGAAAGCGTCCATCTCCCCACCAGCGGCCCCACTGGGGTGGCCGGACCCGAGTGCGGTGCTCACCACAGCACTGCCTGGGAATGCTGGCATGGGCAGAAAATGGATAAACCAGCATCAGCTGGCATGTTCTTGAGACCACTGGTCGGTGAAGTTGAGGCACAGTGTTCTGATCTCTGATGCAATCAAACTAGAATATCTGAAAAAGTGAAACGTTGTCAGTGCCGAGCGCCCCTGGCCCCTGCCCGGCCGCACCGCTGAGCCACAGCAGCCCGAGGGCCACTGGAAAGGAGACCACCGCCACTGAGGCTCTACAAAGCAGAAGCTGGATCCCGACAGTAACGTGTCCTGCAAAAAACGCCGGGGGGGCCAGGACAGCCACCGGCCCCTACGGCCGTGCCGCTCCGCTTGACGCACGAGAGGGAGAGCAGGAGGACGGCCGGGCAGGGTCAGTGCCGTGCCTGCCCCACCACACGCTGCCACGGGGCCCCCAAAAACCCTCGCTCCATCATCATCTGGAGTCTCATCCCCTCAGAGCAGGATAACAGGAGGATGTGACTCCGATTTCCAGCCGCACTGGGAACATCTCCCACAGCATTCATTCCCTTTGTAAATCTTTGCCTTTCATCATGAATAATTCACTTGCAATACTTACAGATGATAATAAAAGGCCTACAAAACTCTGCACAAGGCTGCAAAGACCTATTTAATTAACTAACTTCAAGGAAACTTGTATTATTAAACAGATGCTATTTATGTCTTCTGTCAGGGATCAGGTGTGCGTCAGCGGGAGCTGCCAGCGTGCCAGGCAGGCAGCACCACGCTGCCGTCGGCAACAAACTCAAGCGCGGATGCGCCTGGATTGCATGGCAGGATTTCAGGGCTCCCACGGATGCACCAGTCCTCCTTGGCACAGCCCCTGCACCACCTCAAACACCCGGACCCAGGGCACCCCCCGCTGCAGAGGCTGCGGTGCTGCAGGGCATGCTGGCACGCAGCCCTTGGGCACAATTACCCTGCAGTGGAAAATTGACACCCTGGCACGGCAGAGCAGGACACTCCAGCAGCCCTTCCCTTTCCTGCTCCCAAACAGGCCCAGGGCAGCCAGGCTGCCAGAGGAGAAGGGCACTCATCGCAGCCAAGGTGGCCCTTCCAGCGGCTAAGGCACGCTGCCAGAGCAGACATGGGCAGCATCCACCCAAAGCACAGCCATGTTCGCCATCTCTCTGACTCCAAACCAGTTCCCAAGTTTTCATCCCATTTCTGGATGAATTGGGAGGTTCCTTTCCACTGCTGTGGGTTGAATTAGTGTTGTTCACAAAACGTTTTCCCCTGCGAGAGCTTCCAGACCTAGAGGGGGAAGAGCACTCGTCCATCCACCGCTCCGAGGCAGAGCAGACGCTTTGAGCGGGATGCTCCAGCTCGGCTGACAGCGCCCCAGGCTCTGGCGTCAGCCCACGGCTGCGGGCAGCAGCGACGCTCTGCCTGCTTCGCTCCGCAGCTTAGGCACCGCAGGCGGAGCCCACCACAGCTGCCCACAAAGCCAGCGAAGGCAAGCTGTGGGATGCTGTGCCCAAAAAACTGCAAGGCATGAAAAGCAGGGAAGAGATGCTAACGTAAGGACAGATGCCTCAGGACCAGCCCAGCACGGCGGCAGGTCCCTGCCCGCGGCTCAGGCTGCGCGTGGGCGGCAGCGTGCTGCCTGCTTCGCTCTGGTCGGTGAGTTCCCCCTGCACTGCTGGGCTCCAGCAGTGAAACGAGGGAGCAGGACCTGCGCAAAAGGCAGCGAAGGCTGAGAGCATCAGCAGGGCAACCCGAGGGCTCCACTGCTCGCCCTCTCTTGACTATGGCTCTCTTCATCAAAGCTTTTCATTTCTTCCCTGAAATTGTCTTGTCAAGAGAGCCTTAGAAACATTCAGCACCATTTGCTCTGAAATTCTGTGGAGAATATTTGTTTTTCTTCACCAACTGTGGTGTCAAGACTCAGTGAAGTAACTCTTGGAGTGGAAGGGACGTGTCTGGGAAACAGTTTCCTTCAGCATAGCAGATGGGTAAAGTCACCTTCCAGCAGTTGAGCGCTGGGTGTGAGCTGTGCTCCGGTCTCTAAAAATAAAAGCAATAAAAGCTCCTTGTGGGGCTGCTAGAACATGTCAGCTTGTATAAAAAATACCCATGGATTTCACCAGTAGGATGCTGGATACGAAAATGCTGTCAGCTCTGGATTAAGACAGTGCACAAATGTCCATCCACCCTGTTAACCTAATTACCATATGAAATGGCATCATCACAGTTCGACTCATCCGACAAAGCAGTGCTAGAGAGAGCCACGTCCACCCAAGCACACCGCGTGTCACCGCATGCGTCCCAGGGATCCTCGGCTTCCCCAGCACGGCGGACGGGAAGCCCTGCTCTCTCGCCACATGGAATGACTTGTTTGGCAGCAGCCCAGTGATTCCCACGTCCCACCTGAAACCACGTGGGTTCAGAGACTTGGTCCAGTTCGGGGCCGGCTCGCTGCCTCCGCCCCGGGAGCGCGGGGTCAGTGCTCTGCGCCTCTGCTCACACCTGCACACCTCGGCCGTGCATCTGGATCACCTGCGCCCGGAGAGTCTGGATCCCGCTCAGGATGGTCTTCTGGTGCTCCGCCAGCGTGATCCCCAGGCTGAGGACATCTCTGCAAAACGAGCCCCGCGTCAGCCATGGAAAACGAGCCCTAAAGTGCCCGACACCCA